TGCACCGCACACCCCCCTTACCGTGTGTGTGTGTGTGTGTGTGTGTGTGTGTGTGTGTGTGTGCAGCTAAGTGGGCACACTCCCCACACCCCCCAGCGTGTGGGTGGCAGCGGGGGGCGGCCGCGACTCCTAATTAAACAAAAATGTTCATCGCGGCCCACATTGTGCCCAATTCCTTAGAGTTTAATTAAAACAACAGCGCGGGAGGCGTGCGCGGGGTCTGCAATCAGATGGCGGAGGCGGAAGGAGGGAGGGAGCCCTGGGAGCTGCCAGGAACAGGCTGCCCGACACCCAGTGAAGGGTGGGAGGTGGGGCCCTGGGGTGCTCCGCCTCCCCCCCCCCAATCCTTGCCTGGGAACAGAGGAAGAGGAGGAGCCCTGATGTGTGTAGTGGGGGACAGGGCGGAAAGACATGGGAGAGGTGGTAGGTCCTTCCCTGCCAGGGGTGGGGGGCATAAAAGAGACAGAGATGGGTGTGGCTCACACAGGCAGGCTGTTCTTGTGGGTCCTGAAAGGTCAGGGCAAAAATATCTGCTGGGATGAGCCAGCCAGCAGAGGCATGAGGCTCCTCCCTGCCCGGCTCCTCTTCCCTCTCTTTCCCTGCCCTCCCCTCTCTCCCAGCCAGGACCAGCCAGGGCTCAGTGCAGCAAGAGACCACATGCCTGGTTGTAAAGTACACGCGCTAAAGGTAGGGGGTTCAGACACACTCTGAGGCGCTGTGGAAGAAAGGCCTAGCCATCCACTCCCCAAAGGTCACAGCTTTGAAAACCCTGAGGGGCGGTTCTGTGCTGCACCCGGGGAAGGGGGTGGACAGGGTCACTGAGAGTCAGCATCACCTCTGGCACGACTCACAGCTTGGCACAGGGAAGTGCAGAGCCCCCGTTCCAAGGCCTTAGGAACTTCCAGTCGGCGAAAACCCTGAGTTGTCCCAAACTGGGGAGTCACTGGAGACACAGGGGACCTCTCTGAGCACACAGGTCACATGCTTATAAAGCTTCCTGATTTCTAGGCCCAGGGGTGGGACAAAAGAGTGGGGCTCCAGGCTGATCAGGACTGAGCTGTCCAGGGGGACCTCAGGAGACCCCACCCTACCCCAGGAGGGGGCCGGCACTCGTGGATTAGAGGGTCCGGTTATACCTGTAGGTGATGGGCAGAGCCCACACACCTGGGGGCTGTCGTCTTAAGAGCAAAAGGAGAACGGCGGACCCAGGGCTTTGCCAGGCTGGCACTCTATTCTGGACTTGTCTCACACCTTGCTCAGGGCTTGAGAACTACCCAAACTCCTGACCTTCCCTTCAGACGGCTGCACTGCAGCTCAGGATGCTGCGGAACTTGCCCAGGGCCACACAGCAGCGACAAGTTGGGCAGCACCAGGCTTGAACTCTGGCTGCTGGCCCCCAAATCCTCACCCCCCTGAGCCAAGACCCTATATGCCTGGGCTAAAACCAGCTTACAACAGAAGAGGCAGCAGGGCCCTCTGGGAGTGGGTTTGTGCCGAGGCCGTGGGAATAACAGTTTGCCACCAAAGAGGCCATTTCCCAAGGCCCCTGGCCCCTGGCCCCTCTGGATAAAGCTGGCCTATGGCTTCGCGACGTTCCCAAAGGCGGATATACAAAGGATGGATGCCGCCGCCGCCGGCGGTCTGGCATCTACTTGTCTGGCGTTGAGGCATCACCTCTTACCAGCCAACTC